GGATACCAGCTTCAAAGCACAATGACATGAAGAGAATTACATCAAATCACATTCTAAGTTGCTTAAAATCAGTGACAGAGCAAAAATATTAAAAGCAGTCGAGAAATAAAGACACATAATTTATAAAGGGTGATCGCACATTTCTTGTTGGAAACAACGTGAGCGAGAAAACAGTGGAGAAAAATCTTTATTGAAAGAAAAAACTCAAGCTAGAATTCTATATCTAGGGACGATATCAAAGATGAAGGCTAAATAAAGATTTTTCTCATATGTACAAAAGCTGAAAGTCATACCAGCAGACTAGCCCTGCTAGAAACCTTGAACAAAGTCCTCAGGCAGAAGGAAATGATACCAAGTGGAAATATGGAACCACAACAGGGTTTGTCAACCACAGCACTCTTGACGTTGGGGGCCAGAGTCAACGTTGGCCCCCAAATTGGGCTATCCAGTGCATTGTAGGGTGGTTGGCAGCATACGTAGCCTCTACTCACTAGATCCCGGAAGCGCCAACCCTCAGTTACAATGGCTAACATTGTCTCTACACATTGTCAAATGTCCCCTGGTGGGAAAGTCACTCCCACTTGAGAATCACTATTAGATGGATGTTTCTTTTCTTTCATATTTTTCATCTCTTTATGCTTTTGAGCAATAATCTGAGGGAATTCCTATGCTCAGGCATTTAGGGCATTAATTCACTTTTTATGCCTATTTTATTCAGCCCATCTATTGATTTTTTTAAAATATTTATTTATGTATTTGGCTGCGTTGGGTCTTCGTTGCGGCATGTGGGATCCTCCATTGCGACGTGTGGGTTTCTGTAGTTGTGGCGTGCGGGTTTTCTCTTCTTTAATTGTGTGCAGGCTCCAGAGCGTGTGGACTCTGTGGTGTGTGGCATGCGGGTTCTCTCGTTGAGGCGTGCGGGCTCAGTAGTTGTGGCGCGTAGGCTAGGTTGCCCCACGGCATGTGGGATCTTAGTTCCCTGACCAGGGGTTGAACCCGCGTCCCCTGAATTGGAAGGTGGATTCTTCACCACTGGACCACCAGGGAAGTCCCTCTACTGATTTTTTAAAAAACAGACTTTATTTTTCAGAGCGGTTTTAGGTTCTCAGGAAAACTGAGCAGAACAGAGTTCCCGTATAACCTTGTCCGTATATGTCTAACCTCGTCTACTACCGAGATCACACAAAGGTAACATTTGTTACAACGAATGAACCTACGTGGACACATCATTGTCACCCACATGTTACATTGGGGTTCACTCTTGGTGTTGTACATGAGTTTTCACAACTGTATAATTACATCTGTCTATTATAGTATCATTCAAAATGGTTTCACTGCCCTAAAAATCCCCTGTGCTCTACCTATCCATCCTTCCCTTCCCCCCAATCCCTGGCAACTCTATTGTTTTTAAACCTCAATTATATTTTATTTATTTATTTATTTAATTTATTTTTGGCTGTGTTGGGTCTTGCTGCGCACGGGCTTTCTCTGGTTGCGGCGAGCGGGGGCTGCTCTTCATTGCGGTGTGCGGGCTTCTCATGGCGGTGGCTTCTCTTGTTGTGGAGCATGGGCTCTACGTGCATGGGCTTCAGTAGTTGTGGCATGTGGGCTCAGTAGTTGTGTCTCACGGGCTCTAGAGCGCAGGTTCAGTAGTTGTGGCGCACGAGCTTAGTTTCTCCATGGCATGTGGCATCTTCCCAGACCAGGGCTCGAAACCGTGTCCCCTGCATTGGCAGGAAAATTCTTAACCACTGCGCCATCAGGGAAGCCCTAAACCTCAATTATTATAGTTTCTGTCCGATATGGTTTTTTTTTCTTTTTTTTTTTTGCCTCACCACTCAGCGTGCGGGATCTTATTTCCCCAACCAGGGGTTGAACCTGCACCCCCTGCAGTGGAAGCACAGAGTCTTAACCACGGAGCTGCCAGGGAGGTCCCAGTATGTTTTTTTTTAATTGTTGTTTGTTCTTGTTTTGTGACTGCCTTTTTTAAAAAATAAGATATACCCCCTTATCTCCTTGTAGACCTTTCCTGTATTGAAGACACTGAGTGCTGTATGACTTTTTTCCCTTAGGTGTGAGCTGTTTGGTGTGTTTACTACCTCATTTCCATGGAGATGGCGTTCCTCAAATGTTTGGTCTTTATTGGACACTGATTTCGTAATTAAGACACCCTGTTAGGGCACCTGTTGCATCTGTTTGACCAGCCCACTTGGAATCGTGGTGGCTGCTACCGCTTCTAGGAAGAGTGCAGAAGAGGCCACTGGTCCTCTGTGTGTGGGCATCGCCAGCCACATGGGGCGCTGTCTTGTCTCTGACTTCACCACTACACTCACTATATCCACCTGGAAACACAAACCCTCTAACCGCTGCCTAACTGGTCCAAGGGGGGCTGGAGATGAATCAACCCCCTTGTCAGTGGTCCCTGGGCCCCTCCAGCTCCCACCCTTACGGCCTTCCATATAGACTTAGAGAATGAAACGTGCCCCCCACCTTTGCTCTTGCCCTCATGCCCGCTCACTGCATCCAGGACTTCACCTCTTCTTTCTATCTTCAGCTTCCTTGTTAGCTACTTCCCGTCAGCTATAAACATGCTCAGTCTCTAAAACATTTCCCCTTCATCCTGTACCCCTTTGACCTCCTTCCTCCACCTTTTGAAGAGCTGCCTGCCTTCTCCACCCTTTCTTGTCCTGTTCTTTCCTCAGCTCTGCATCACCCCTCCCCCACCACTGCTCTACTGAAATTCCTCTCGCTGAAACCATCAGTGTCTCCCGATTGACTACGGAGTATCAGCAGCCACTTCAGATTTCCTCTCAGCTGCACTTACACTACCTTCTGTATTTTGACACTCTTCCTTCATTCCCTTTCCTTTCCTCCTCTTTTCACTGGCCTTGAGCTTCTGTGTATCTATTTGCTTCTTTATTATTATTATTTTAATTTGAAAGGGTATTTTTAAAATTTATTTATTTATTTTGGCTGCGCTGGGTCTTCGTTGCTGCACGTGGGCTTTCTCTAGTTCGGCGAGCAGGAGCTACTCTTCCTTGCGGTGCGAGGGCTTCTCATTGTGGTGGCTTCTCTTGTTGCAGAGCACAGTTCTAAGCGCCCGGGCTTCAGGAGTTGTGGCTCGCGGGCTCTAGAGTGCAGGCTCAGTAGTTGTGGCGCATGGGCTTAGTTGCTCCGCGGCATGTGGGATCTTCCTGGACCAGGGCTCGAACCCATGACCCGTGGCAAGTGGATCCTTAACCATTGGGCCACCAGGGAAGCCCTCTATTTGCTTCTTAAATGTTGGTGTGTCCTTTGCTCCTGGCCGCATTTGGCAAGAAATGAGCTCGGTTTGCAAGCAAGAATGAAAGGAAATAAAGAGTCCAGGAATGTGGAGACTTGAAGAGCTGGAAAAAAACAACTTCTTCTGGACCCCAACAGGAGATAAAATTGAGCAAGTCTACAAACATCCAATTAAAATTCAATTTCTTTTTTTTTTTTTTTTTTTTTTTTTTGCGGTACATGGGCCTCTCACCGCTGTGGCCTCTCCCGCTGCGGAGCACAGGCTCTGGACGCGCAGGCTCAGCGGCCATGGCTCACGGTCCCAGCCGCTCTGCGGCATGTGGGATCTTCCCCGACCGGGGCACGAACCCGTACGAACCCGTGTCCCCTGCATCAGCAGGCAGACTCCCAACCACTGCGCCACCAGGGAAGCCCTAAAATTCAATTTCTTGACAAAGCATTCCTGCATTCAAATTCTGGCTCCATTATTCCCCGTGTAAACTTGGGCAAGATGCTGACCTTTTCTGTACCTGACTTTCCTCATATATAAAGTGGGGATAAAGGCACCCACTTGATAAGGGTGTTATCAAGAGGAAACTAGTGAATACAGGAAAGGCGCTTGGAACAGTGCCTGACACATGCTCAGGGCTCAATTAAACTTAGAAATTGTTATTTTGTCAAAAGGGCAAGAGACGGTGGGTGGCTTCATTAGAATTCAAACATCTGGATCTTTGCCCTCTCTCACCGCTTTCGCAACTGACTTGTGTTATGGTTGGCAGGATACACTAGACATGTCCATTTGGCTGCCTCTCAGACAAACCAACAGGTCGGAAACTCAGCCCATCACCTTCCCCATTCCGGGGCTCCTTCCTGTCAGGGTAAAGGGACTAACATCCTGCTCCCTCACCCTCCCGCGTGCCCCACATTCAGCAGACCCCGTTCCCTAAATCTGTCCCGGATCCATCTTTCCTGCGTTTTGCGCCCGGGCCTGGTGTTCCTCATGTCTTGCCTTGGCTCCTGTAACAGCCTCCACTCCAGACCCCTCAGATCCACCCGCAGGAAATGAGCCCTAATTTCACCCAAAGTCACCCAAGCAGAGGGTCGGATCATGGTGGAGCCCCCCGGGAGCGGTGACGCAGGGCGTGGCCCGCCGGCCTCGGAGGACCGGGGCTCCCGCTCCAGCCGGGCGGAAGCACGCGGACCCCTCGCTCCCCGGTCGTCCCCGGGCCCCCGCCGCCCTCGCTCCCGGTGCCGCCTACCCGCTCACCGCCCAGGGCCAGCTCACAGCCTTTCCGCCCGCGCTCCGCCGCCGGGACCACGCCCCCTGTGACGCGCATGAAGTCCCGCCCCCAGCCCATCACCAGACGGCGCGCAGCCGGGGCCCCGCCTCCCGGCGGAGCGCCACTGAAGCGCGAGGATTGGCTGGGAGTGCGCACCTCAGCCAATCCGGACTCGCCCCGGCCCTCGCGGCCCCCCCCCGCCCCCCCCCGGTGGCGCTCCTGACAGTGACATGCTCTGCCGGTTGGGGCTGCGCCCGGGGCGGCCGGGCTGGGAGGGCTTGGGATGGAGGCGGCCGGGCCGCGGAGCAGGGACGCGCAGGGGCGAGCGGCGAGTCAGCCTGGCAGCCGAGCAGAGAAGAGCCCGCCAGAGAGGTGCGCTCCTTGAGCGGAAGGCAGGGGAAGCCGTCGGCGCCCTCCTCCAGGAAGCCCTCCAGGCGCCGCGTGGCGAGGTCTGAGGGTGGCGGCCGGCCGGTGGTCACTCCCCGAGGGAGGGGGCGGCCAGCTGGTGGTCACTTTCCAGGGGAGGGGTCCTTCCAGGAGAGGGGCCGCCAGCAGGCCGGTCTCTCGCGGGCATGAGGGTCCGCGCGGGGATGCAGCGCCGCCCGGCTGTCCGCGCGGGAGGCCTAAAGCAGGGATGAGCGCTGGGAGGACGAGCGGATGCGAGGCGTGGCCTGCGAAGGGCTCCGGGGAGGTGACGCTTGGGCTAAAACCTGAGTGACATCCAGGTGTGAGCCGCACAAGTTCTGGGAGCGAGCGCGCGGGGAAGAGGAAACCGCAGCAAAGGCCCCGAGGGCAGGAACGAGCCCTTGGGGTCCAGGGCAGCGAGGACTGCGGAGCGGAGGGGCTTGGGGCAGCTGTCCACGAGCAGAGCCGCAGAGTCCAGGAAGGACTTGGGGTGTCCTGGAGGTTTGAGAGGGGAGTGACGTCATTTAATTATATTACAAATTACTACTTTACATTTTAAAGGAATCCTTCTGGCTGCTTTGTAGGGAGTAGGGGTTGCAGGAAGCAGGGAAGCCAGTTGGGAATGTTTTGTCACAATCGAGGAGGGAGAGGCGGTGTGGACCGCAGTGGTGGCAGGGGTGGCGGGAGAAGGGTTTGTACTGAGAATAAACCGGGCAGTTGCTGATGCGTCCTCCGAGTAGGGGAGAGGTAGGGTTAAGAAGGATGCCCCGAGGCTGCTGGCCTGAGCACCTGGCAGAGTGGGGGTGAAGACCGGGGCGGGGGGGGCACTCCAGCCCACAGAGCTGTTCCAGCCTGCTGGGACCTTCCCTTGGGCGGGGGAAATGCATCTTTGTTTGTTTGTTTGTGAGTCTTCACCCTCAACCCAGGAATTTGTTAAATACTTTCTGGGTAGGAGGGGTAATCCTCTCTACCTGAGTATGAGGAACGGGTGTGTGTCTTTAAAATGTGGGTCCAGACCTAAATCTGCCATGTCTTTCATTAGGTCTCATTTGCTTGGAACTGAGAAAAGGGAGCTGGGAAAATGTACCGAGTGGAGAAGAGATTCGTGATGCCTTTTTCTTTTTGGTTATGAACCTAATAAAGTTTAGCTTTCCCGTGCAATATTGATAGCACTTTAAAGAAGTAACAAATAATGGGGCAGAGAAATCTCTGAAGTGTTCTGAAATTCAAGCTTTGAATTAACTCAGCCAAGCAGGAGATTGAAGAGCTGTGGTCACTAGTGGTTTGAGTCATTTTGGAATACTTACCATTGGAAGTGAGAGCGGAGTTAGGGGCACATGCAGATTTAAGACTCAACAGGACCCAGGGATTCCTAATACCCGGGTGGCCAAGGATGGCTGCTCAGACTTCCCAAGCCCCAAAGCCTTGTGCTTGGGCATCTTAGAGACAAGATGCTGCATTAAAACACTCCATGGGGGGGACTTCCCTGGTGGTCCAGTGGTTAAGAGTCCTCACTTCCATTGCAGGGGCCATGGGTTTGATCCCTGGTCGGGGAACTAAGATCCCACATGCTGCAAGGCGCGGCCAAAAAAAAAACACTCCATGGGTTAAAGAACCTGTGTTTTAACAGCCACCATTGGTAATTGTGTTTGAATTTTCATGTGGATTGGTTTAAATGCTATTGCTGATTTTAAAGTCAGGTAAAATAATTAATGGTATCTGGCAGGATTGCCTACTATTACATATTCCTGAAAGTTTTTGGTACTGGTAAAAAGATATACGGGTAAGTTTCACTTAGGGATCTTTCAGGGGCTGTGCGCTTTCTGTGACATTTGTCACCTTATAAATCAAGCCCCTACTCTGCGCCGGCCGTTGTGCTCAGTGTTGGCGACAGAGCTGGGAGGAAAACGGGAGCTTGTGGAGCTGCTGTTCTGTTACTTTCTGTTGAGATAGAGAATAAACAAGGAGCAAGTCTAGTGTGTTAGATGATGGGGTGCCTTGGAGAAACGGGGTGCCAGGGGGCACAGCCCTGGGGAGGAGGGCATGGGTGGCTGCAATTTTATTTAGAGCCCAGTTTGCCTCACAAGAAGGTCAAGTTGGAGCAAAGACCTAAAAAGTAAGGTGGGGTGTCAGTGTGGTCATTCTAGGCAAAGAAAACGGAAAGTGCAAAGGGAGGAGAAGCCTGCACATGCCCCCCACCCCGCAGAGGAGACTGCATCTCAGGGGAGGCAGAGGGGAGAGAGAGGGGAGCAGTGGGCGCCTAGATCACCCGAGCCTCACGCCATCGCAGGCACTGCAGGGAAATAAAGGAAGACTACTGGTGAAGTGGTGAAGTTGAAAAACCAGGGAAAAAGCCCTGAGGAATGTGCGGCTCCCTGGGACTGCAAGGTTCCCCTGCTTCCCTCAGGAGGAAGGTTGGAGTCAGGTAGGTAGCCCAGGCCCAGCGGACCACCCCTCCTACCAAGTGGTGGAAAAAAGTTTTGAAAGTCCAAAGGGACAATTTCCTAACAGTGATAAAGGAAACTAGCAAATACTATTGATAGATGGTTGGAAAACATGTATACATTTTCCATAAGTAATGAAGATGTGGAAATTTCTGAGCTTGTAGAATCCGGCACACGTAAATGCAGAGAAGCACCCCGACCTTGAATCATTTGCTCCTGTTGCTACGATAGACAGGGTGCAGCTGTGTTTCCAGATCTCACCTTCTTTTCCCTAATAGGCACGTCTTTATTTTCTCTCCAGCAGGAAAGTGTATATGGACTATAATGCAACCACCCCCCTGGAGCCGGAAGTCATCCAGGCCATGACTGAAGCCATGCAGGAAGCCTGGGGAAATCCCAGCAGCCCTTACGCGGCAGGTAATTCTAGAAGACACACGCAGATCAGAGATGTGGGGGGCAGAGGTACTCTTAGAGACACACGCAGATCAGAGACGTGGGGGGGCAGAGGTGCTCTTAGAGAAATTAGAGAATCCCACATGGGATGACTCGGTTTTGAATAGATTTTCTGTTAACTGCAAATCTTTAGCTGTAATTTTGGGTAGTTTTTTCCCGAGAAGTCCAAATTTGAGCCTTGTTGATACCATAATCTTTCATCTTTAACATACTCTCCTGTCGTCCTTTCCCAGATGCAAAAGCTGTCTTATTAAGAATTGTTTGTAGTGACAGTACCTGTTAAAACCCTGTCACATATCTGTCTCAGTCGACTGTTACAAAATTTGCAAAATAGATCTTTTACAACATCAGGATCACATAGAATCCTGGTCTTTTTTTAAAAATAAAAATTACTTTCAAATTCTTCAATTATAAATATTCTTATATGTTTCTCGTTTATTCTTGTTTTAATGTAGAGCATTAAATTGGAGGTCTTGGAAAAGAATTTGCTTCAAATCAGGAGTTACATGGCAGAGTCACGTTGTGTCTTTCAGACAGTGAGCTGAAGCTGTGTCTTATTTAATGCTTTATCAGGGATAATGAAGATAAACTATCTTAACTGTGGATCACTGATGAACTAAAGTAACTTTCAGACTACTGCCACGCCCTGGGATTTAGCAATACCTGTGTGCAAATTTATAGACTTTTGTGGGTTTTCATGTCGGTTTGCTTATTCAAAGCTTCACAGCTTGATAACTAAAAGCTTTTGCAAAATCAGATACTAGTCATTCATTAACTTTGTTGTTGGTTTATCTTATACATGTATTCTGGCTAATCTTCTGGACGTTGCCTTGTAGCTAATCTTTCCTCTAGTGAAACTGAAGTTTCTGACGCAGAAAACTGGAGAATCCAGAGAACAGTCAAGTGCTAATAAAAAGCATTTATCATGAAGAAATTTAGGAATAACCCTCAGGGAGAAATAACCCTTCTAGACCTGATGACGCCTGTCTGTCTGTGGATTGCATGTTGCCTTGACAGCCTTTGTTTCCACAAATTAAGAACCATAACTAAAAATGCATTGCAGTAATTCTCTGTTGACACTCAGGTAGAAATGGAAAAGAAAAAAAAAAAAGGAAAGAAAGAAAAAATCACCTGTATGGTAGAATGGTTTAATTATTTTCACAATATTATGATTTAATAATGATAATAATCCCTTGGAGGGTAATCTGTTTTAAGGCCAATATTAAGGCGGTGTGGGCAGAGTTCAGAAACCCGAGATGTTTTTTACTACCTCGCTTATAGCCTCAGTGTCCATCAGTCACGGATGGATCACATAAGTGGGCAGAGGCCCTGGCGTGAGTTCTGGTCGCCCTTAAAGCGATGGTGTGGACTGTATTGACGACCTAGGAGGAGAGTTGCAGCATTTGGCCCAAGTGGAAAATGCACGTTATAAATGTGCCGTGTGATTGATTCCCCTGCCCGCCACCCAAGAAAAAATTACGTAGAGCAAGTATGGCAGATGTATAGTTTTGCTGTGAGAAACTCCCAAATACCTGGAGATTAAACAGCTTGAAATTTATTTCTCTCACGGTCCAGGGCCCACGTGGCTGCTCAGCCACTACCAGAGATGCAGCTCCTTCTATCTTAGAGCTTCTTCCATCTTTAACGTGCACCTGCCCCTTGGGGTCAAGATGGCTCCTGCAGTTCAAGCCATCATGTAAGCAGTCCGGCCTGTGGGACGGAGAGAAAGAGGAGGAGAAAGGGCTGCCTGAGTCCTTCAGAGACACTTCTGGAAGTTGCAAGTACCACTCTGGCCTGTAGCCCATTGCCAGAGGTTGGTCCCATGGCCACGCATTGGCATTTCGGTTGCAGTGGAAGTTGGGAAATGGGCTCTAAATTCTTAACTCATCTAAGGCTTTCTTCATTTAAATGTGGCCTTAATTAAGATGTGTTCCAGCTGAAAATGCCTCCGTGGTAGGGAGGCAGAGTGGCAGCAAGGGCAGCCCCGACGCAGATGGGACGCACACCAGATGCTCCCACCGCAGTTGTCTTGGAGTAGCAGGATGGCAGGAGGTTTTGAGTATTTTCTTTTTGTATCATGGTATTTAATTCTTCTACAATCAGCATGCCTAGTGTAATGAGAAGAAAACTTTACTAAAGCCAAGCTTTTGTCTCTTCAGAACTCTTTCTTAGCTGACACGGCAGTACACACGCCGTGCTATGACGTTCCCCGGCTCACCCCCCAGCGCTGGTGGGTGCCTCTGGCTGTGGAAATGCGGGGAGGGTGTCACTGTGTGTACAGTGAGTTAGGTTGACGGTGCTCTCGCACGCACCCACTTTTCTTATTAGTGAGAACCTGCATGGTGGGTGGGGATCGGGGCTCAGGTTCACAGCTGAGGGCATCCGCTCTCAGAGTGGGCCAGCGGCCTGCAGCATCTCGGGCTGGTCCCCAGATGGAACCCAGCTCTCCTAGCCCTGGGTTCTGGGGTTTTCCCACCGTCACCCCTCCTGCTGCTGTCAGGGATTCCCTAGGGCCTTTTCCCCAGGTGTGTGGGGCTCACCTTCAAGGGCTTCAGTCCTCCCCCGTGAGTCGTGAGTCGTCCACTCAGCTTGCCTGGAGGGCGCTTACTCTGTGCCTGGTGGGTGGGGCAGCCAACAGACAAAGGTCCTGCTCTTGTGAGGGGCAGCAGGCAGGGCAGTTACAGATGCAGGTGTGTGAGGTGGACAGAGCCCTGTGGGGAGCAGTGAAGCCGATGAAGGGCACACAGTCTGGGGGAGGGGCCCCGCTTCACGGAGGATGACCCTGCTCTCGGATGACGTACGTTTGCAGACATGAGGAGGGGACACCTGGGGAGGCACTGCAGGCAGAGGGCTGTGGGTGACAGCAGGGGGTTCGGGGGTCCCAGGGGTTTGGGGGCAGTGCCACGCTGGGCTGTGGAGGCCACTGTGAGGTGAGGGCTGGCTCTCGTGGGCCTGGGGTGGAGTGCGTCTGGAGGGCCTGAGCAGAGGGGTGACATAACTGAGGTCACTCGTGAGACCCCACACTCTGGAAACGTATTAAGGACCCCAAAGAGCCTCTGCTTATGCATGCTTTGTCTGTAGATATTTGCCATATCAGAGCTTAACACTAAAACACTTTAAATAGATACATATCTATTCATTAAAGGCAACAATAATGAATCCATTACATGTTAACTTTTTTTTTATGAAAAAGAAACTATCTTTTCCAAAGCAGAGCAAATTTAGTGAGAAGAATGGCACTGTGGTACATGTTTGAAAATCTTCAAGGTCTGGATAAATAGAAGACGTTTGGGTCCCATACCTGGCTCTGTCTCCAGTCCATTGCAATATTCACATCACGTAGCCTCTGGAGGGCTTCCTTATATACCTGTGAGAAAATGGGTGTAAAAAAGGCAAATGATGTCTCAGCATTATTATGAAGATAGTTTTGACTTTGTGGACCCCCAGAGCTCCCCAGACCACACTTTGAACACAGGTGATTTAACCAATATTGGGTGAGTACCTACTGTGTGCCGAGCATTGTTCCCGGTGAGGGAAAAGCACAGAGCACAAAGAATTGTTGGGTTTTCAAGGCATTACTTTGGCCACTTTGTGGAGAATGGACCACAGTGGGGTCCGTGGAGTTGGGGTCATGCCAGGGGAATATCCCAGCAGTGGCCTTGACTCAGCTGGTGGCTGGGGCGGGGGGGCGGGGTGGGGTTGGATTCTGGATATTTTTGACAGCACATCCTACAGGATTTGATAATGGGTTGGGTGATGGGGTAGGAGAAAGACAGGGGCTTTCACCCTGGTCCCCTGGAAGGACTGAGATGCCGTTTACTTACTGAGAAAGGAAAGGCTGGGAGCCTTTGAGAAAGGAGCCAGTTTGAGGGGAGGGAGGCAGGCATTCAGCTTTGTTTGTTTGTTTTTGTTTTTAAATTTATTATTTATTTTTGGCTGCATTGGGTCTTCATTGCTGCACACGGACTTTCTCTAGTTGCGGCGCGCGGGGGCTATTCTTCGTTGCAGTGCGCGGGCTTCTCCTTGCGGTGGTTTCTCTTGTTGCAGAGCACGGGCTCTAGGCGTGCACGCTTCAGTAGTTGTGGCTCGCGGGCTCTAGAGCGCAGGCTCAGTAGTTGTGGCGCATGGGCTTAGTTGCTCAGCGGCGTGTGGGATCTTCCCGGACCAGGGCTTGAACCCGTGTCCCCTGCCTTGGCAGGCAGATTCTTAACCACTGCACCACCAGGGAAGCCCCCGGACATCCAGCTTTGAATGTGTGTAGTTTCAGATGCCTGTTGGACATCCAGGTAGGGTGAGTGGCGTCCAGAACAAGGTCTGGGTTGGCATTTTGGGCGTATGTTGATGTACAAGTTGTGGACATCACCTTCTTTTTTCTTGGGTAAACACTGTTTACCCTAAACATCTAGGAGCAGAACGGCAGGGTCAGATGGGAGGTGTAAGTTTGACTTCCTAAGGAACTGCTGTGCTATCTCCAAAGTGCTTGTACCAATTTCTGTTTCCACTGATGTGAATGAGAGTTTCGTTTTCTCCACATCCTCCTGACCACTTGGACTGGCCAGTCTCTTCATTTTAGCCGTTCCAATAGGTACATCACGGTGGTGAGGTAGCCCCCCGAATCCTTGTGTAGAAGGGTCTCCAAGACTGATCGATAAGTGGAAAGAGAAGTTTTTGCAAACCAGTTTGTAAATTATGAAACCCATTTTTGAAAAGGAAAAAGAAAACTCTGTGAAATGCTTATATGAAGGTCTACAGGCACATCGAAACAGGCTCTGGGGGCTACACGCCACATGGGCCACCCGATTGTCCTGGGAAGGGCAGTGGGGCATGGGCAGGGGACCTGCTGCTGTGGGATCAGCCCAGCATCCCCTCAGAGGGGGCTTCTCAGCAGAATCCTGGAAGAAGAGTGGGCCGTGAGCTGGTGGACGGGCTTTGAGCGGCACTCAGGAGGAGCTAACAGTGGACCAGGCCGGGGTCCTGCCCAAACTGACTGACATTTACTGCAGTCTTTTAAAGTATCACTGGTTGAAAGGACTGGGTTTCCTAGACACCCCAGACCTTCATTGCTTGTAATTAGAACCTACGCAATAGTCTTAAGGAGCATGTGGATTACTTTGTGTATTTATTTTTACCACATCTTTTTACATTTCTGTTTTTACGTATGTTTTATTATTTATTTGTTTATTTTAGTGGTACCTGCTCAGAAAAGTTTTTTTGTAAATAGGACTGAATAGTCAAAAAAGTTTGGAGTCTACTGGTCTACAGACTCAAAATGGCTATCAAAATTTTCAGAATTCCCACCCCAGAGCCTTTCTTTCTCGGCCGCATGAAGTTTGGTTCCTGTTTTCCTGCTCTCCAGTGAAACTGGGAGTAGCTGGGCTCCTAGCAGCTGTTTGAAAGCAAACGTGTCCCTGAGGCGGTGACCCTTCTCACTCCCTAGGGGACTGGCAGTATGGCATCGGGCTTTGTGTCGAGGCGTCACAAGTTCTATTTTTGCTTATTTTTGTTGTTTTGCAGCGTGATCTTAAGCAAATTATTCCATCCTTTCATTCTCCTGTCTTGACGGATGGGAAGCAAGGCAGATGGCCACAGCTTCCCCTCTCCCGTAGCATCCGGTAAGAAGAAAACCATGTCTCAGGGAATTTTAGGGTTCCCAGGTATCCTCCCATATTTGTTTCTGGCTCTTATAAGTTACTGAAATCTCAGTAGTTTTCACTGATTTGCTGACATCTTACAGCTGCCCCTTCGCCGAGTGGTTTCTGGTTGTAGCTCACGTTAGTGGAGCACGTTTTGTCTTAGAACTGCCCACTCAGATCTCTCACTCCTTCATGTCTGGTTGTTCTTTTAAACATGTGTTGATTGGACTTGGTGAAGCAAAGTTAATGAATTTCCACTTTGGTCCCTCAAGGTAGGAAGGCCAAGGAGATTATCAACGCAGCTCGGGAAAACCTTGCCAAGATGATGGGTGGGAGGCCTCAAGATATGATCTTCACTTCCGGGGGCACAGAGGTAAACAGTCTCAACAGTCTCGTGTTCTTTTAGCTGTAAGTTATTTTTTTAAAAAAGTAGAAGGTGGCTGCCTCTTGGTATTATTGTTTTTTAAAGAAAGAGTAATGCTTTGTCCTTGATATAATTAGCCAACAGTTATCCTATAAGTGAATTCCAGGGGGCTGATAGGATATTTGTTACATGACGTATAAATTAATTTGCTTTGCATTGCTATTTCAATAAAGAGAGTTTCCCCTTCATTTTGGCCTGTAATCATTCCTTCGAATCCCACTAAGTTGCTTACCTTGTTAAGAGTGTGAGGTTTCCGGTCAGAATGGCCATCATCAAAACATCTACAAATAATAAATGCAGAGAGGGTGTGGAGAAGAGAGGACCCTTCTACATTGTTGGTAGGAATGTAAATTGGTGCAGCCACTATGGAGAACAGTATGGAGGTTCCTTAAAAAACTAAAAATAGAACTGCCATATGACCCAGCAGTCCCACTCCTGGGCATACATCTGGAAAAGACAAAAACTCTAATTCGAAAAGATACGTGCACCCCAATGTTGATAGCAGCACTATTTACAATAACCAAGACATGGGAACAACCTGAATGTCCATGGACAGATGAATGGATCAAGATGTGGTACATATATACATATATACACGATGGAATATTACTCAGCCATAAACAAAGAATGAAATAATGCCATTTGCAGCAACATGGATGGACCTAGAGATTGTCATACTGAGTGAAGTAAGTCAGACAGAAAGACAAATATAATGTGATATTACTTATATGTGGAACCTTAAAAAAATGATATAAATGAACTTATTTACAAAACAAATAGACTCACAGACACAGCAAACAAACTAAGGGTTATCAAAGGGGAAACGGGGGAGAGATAAATTAGGAATTTGGGATTAACAGATACACACTGCTTTATATAAAATAGACAACCAACAAGGACCTACTGTATAGCACAGGGAACTATTTTCAGTATCTGGTAATAATCTGTAATGGAAGAGAATCTGAAAAAGAACATATATATAATGGAATCACTTTGCTGTGCACCTGAAACTAACACAACATTGTAAATCAACTCTACTTCAATTAAAAAAAAAAAAAAGAGTTTGAGGTTTGACCCAATTTCAAAGGTACTTATTTTTAAATGGATAGAAGATACTCAGTGACAATGTGATGAAGTCAAGGTCTCTACTCAGTTAGTAATTCTCACCATCTCATTTTCTTACTGGAGAAGAAGGTCATCCACAGGTGATGTGACTGTCCACATAAAAAACCAAGAGAATCTGCAGCTAGATTATTAGAGTTAGTAAGTAAATGCAGCTAAGTTATTAGATAAAAAAAGCAATTGTATTTTAATGTACCAGCAACAAACAGGTATTTACCAGAGCACCAAAAATATCAAATACTTAGGAAATAAATCTAGTAAAAAAGCTTTTGTAAGACACCCGCACACACACGTTGGGAAAGGAATAGAAACATTACCGAGAGCCTTCAAAGAAGTTCTAAAGAAATGCAGTGTATACCATGTTCACAGATGGGAAGACGCAGTGTGATAAATACGTCAGCTCTTTCCAGACTGATCTGTAGATTCAAAGCAACTTCAGTCAAAATGCTGACTCTTTTCTGATGGAATCTCGCAAACTAATTTATATGGAAATACACAATGCCAAGAATAGCCAAATCTTCTTCAAGATTAAAAACACCGTGAATTGTTCTGCTAATTAAGGCAGACGGTCTTAGGGCAGGAGAGACACGAGGCCCGAAACAGGGCCATACCTGGATGGGTCCTTGTCACGTTGACAAGGCCTGGCCTTTGTGATGTTGAAGAGATGGATTTCTTAGATAAAATACAGAAAACTTTAATCATAAAAGAAAAGGTCGATAAATTCTACCACCACCACCACCACTAAACAATTTGTAGTTCATCAGAAAACCCTGAAGGAAATCAGAAGACCAGCCTGACAGTGGGTGAAGATGGTAGAGAAATGGGCGAGAAAAGTGAATATGCACCTCACAGAGAAACCCATGTGGTCTCTACGTGGGAGAAGGTACTCAGCCTCATGAAGTGATCAGAATACAAGGGCAAACGACAACATGGGTTGCCTCTGCCCACCCATCAGGATGGTAACAATTAAGAAGTCCAACGACAAGAAGTGTTGACAAAGGATGCACAGCAGCGAGCACGCACGGTGCTGGCAGGAGTGCAGGCTGGAAACCGTTCTGGAAGGTGGGTGGGCATCACCTCGTGAAGTCGAGGCCACGCCACCCCGTCAGCCAGCAGCTCCTCTCAGGTACGTACCATAGAAGAAGGGGGCACGTGGGCAGCAGGGGCAGGCAGGAGAGACTGGCGGCAACGCAGATGTCCCTGCAGATAGCATGGACCGATATTCACACCTCTGATGCAGTCCCGGGTGGAAGGGTACCACACAGTCCCCTGCAGCAGCAGCGCGGAGGGATCGTGAGTGTGGAGCGGCGGGCGTCAGCCAGAGGCTATGCTGAGCCGGGCCCGGGCCGAGCCAAGCTGGCCAGAGGGGAGGGGAGCTGCCGCCAGGCCCCTGGGCACCGACCACCCCCCAGGACCAGACTCCTGGTGCCCCGCAAGGGGCCGCCCCTGCTGCCCTGTGGGCCGTCCTGGTCTTGCCTGGGGCCAGGTGCTGAGGGGCCTGGTGGCCTGGGGGCACGTGGTACGTTTTTAGTTGCGACGGAGGCTGCTGTGCTCCCAGTGCCACCTGGGCGCTCAGCATGGAGTCCTGTGCCCTTTGGTACCTGCAGGTGGAGGCGGCCCATGGGAGGGGCCCAGGCACCTTCGTCGCGTTCACGGTGGATTGGCTCAGCTTTGACCTGAGGTGTGCGGCCCCCGAAGGCCCTCCTTTCCGGACCAGGAGTCGCTGTGTTTTCTGCGAGGGGGTGACCTGGGACTTTAAAGGGCCATCCACCTTCAGAGGGACACATCCAGCCTTCCATCCTGGCCGTCTCCTCCCCTTCATCTGGTTTGCTGCGTCTCAGACCTGGGTGAGCCCTGCCGTCGGCTGCCTGGTCCTCCATCAGGGCCACCTGTTGGACTCTCAGTGCCTTTCAAGTCCTCTGAGCACCGGCTGACCGTGTGTGGGTTCCTCAGCACCCAACAAGCAGCAGCCACCGCCTTCCCGCTGGGTGGCGCCTTTAGACACACGAATAGGTTGGATCTTCAGTTGAGAAAAAAATTAATTCAGTCCAATTCCATTCATTTGAAGGTCAAAAAGAGGCAAAATTAGCAAAATCACTTAGGGATCCTTACCTAGGGAGGAAAAGCATAAAGAAAAGCAAGGAAATGATTACCGTGCGAATCAGCGTGGAGGTAGCTGGCATGGGGGTGGGGCAGTGATTGAGGGCGGGTGCGAGGTGTTCCCTGGTGTGGGTCCTGTTTTCGTCTTGACCCAGGTCACGGTTACTCAGGCCTTCACTGTCATACTTTCTCATGAAACTTACATTTCTGTTTTATACACTTTCCTGTGTGTATGTTGTATTTAGCAGTAAGAGAAAAGGTCCTTAAAAGCAAAAATCTCCCACCTATCCCCTCAGTTATCCACTTCCTCTCCCTACAGGAGACCAGTAGTAGTTTCTGTCGAGTCCTGCAGAGATAGCCTTTGCCTTAAAAACAGATTAAGTGTGTAGATTTATATATTCTTTTCTCCTTCCCTTTCTACCTCTTCAAGGGTTTGGGGGATGTATAAGCAAATGTGTATGTTTCTCGCCCTTTTTATACAAATGGTATGATACTGCATATAATGCCCGCTACCTGTTTTCATTTAACAGGTGCTTTGAGATCTCTGGCATCAGCCCTTAGGGCGTTCCCTCTGTGCTCTTACATCTGCTCGGTGTCCACTGAACAAGTCCCCTTATGGATAGACGTTGAAGGGTTTCCTAAGGTTTTGCTGTTACGTCATTGTACACTTAACCGGTAACCGTTTACATCCATCATTTTGCTTCTGTGCAAGTGTAGCTGTGGGATCAAGTCCAAGAACTAGACTTCCTGGGTCAGCGGGCCTGTTTGATAGATACGCCAGATGGCCCTTAACAGAGGTCGTGCCAGCTCACGTTCCCACCAGCAATGGGTGCCTGGGCAAAATATTCTTTCTTGACAGATTTAGAAAATTTTTAAAATGCGTAATGTTGCTTAACAAAAAGCGTGCGTAATCCACCGGAAACGAATTCTGATATTTTTGCAAGTTGAAAACCCCCAAATCTTTGTAGTTCGGCCTTTCAGAAGGTGCAGCTCAGGAGCTGGTTTTCTTTGAGACCATTTTTCTTTTTAAATGTTAGCTACAAAGGAAACTACAGATGAGAGAGATTGTTACTCTGAGTCTCCCCTTAGCATAGTTTTCGTAAATGATTTTTCTGCTCTGTCTCTGCAGTCAAATAATTTAGTAATCCATTCTGTGGTGAAACATTTCCACAAAATCCATGCCGCAGTGGGGGACACGGCCGAGCGTCCCAGCCCAGTGGAGGGGGCCCTGCCTCACATCATCACCTGCACTGTGGAACACGACTCCATCCGCCTGCCCCTGGAGCACCTGGTGGAAGAACAAGTGGCCGGTGAGTGGGCAGCTGGCTGAGGTGTGGCGACCCGGGGGCCCTCTGGCGCTTGGGCTGCCTGGCTGTGCCCAGGGGCAAAGGTTACGAGGCCTGTCCTTCCAGATTTTCCCTGAGGGAGAAATCAATCACCAGTGCGTGGAACTGGTCGTTTATCACCGCATGAGATGTCAGACTCTTGTACAGGATACATAGGTGCATATCTAACAGCATGCCTATAGATGCTAACCCGTGCTTCTCGTTGTTTGATTTTAATGATTGAATCTTGGCTTGCACTCCCTCTGGTAGAAAGAAAGTGGATCCAGTAGACATCAAGTTCTGGTGGTAAAAACAAGAATAAATGCAAAAAAACAAAACAAAACAAAACAAAACGAAAAAGAATAAATGCACCCCTGCTGGGAGCCTGTTAGCTCAGCAGAGAGGAGGTGAGGGCCTCCCAGGGTGAGGGGAGCAGAGATGGGGGGGTGCTGGGGCCCCACCGGGAGGTGCACTGGGCCAGGCAGTCTGAGGGGCAGGTGGAGCCTCTGCCCAGCAGTGGCAGTGGCCCTGGCTACTTCTGGTCCTTTCACATGTCCTGTGATGTGACATCCTAAGACATAGGGTATAGATACTAGCTTTTGGAAACGTAAGAGACATATTTCCCAAGACAGCCAGGGTTGACCTCTCCTTGGAATAAGACTGGTTTTCTACGAAGCATTTGCCTTCTTACCTTATCTGCCTGGAAACCTGAAGGGGAGGCAGGCGAGAGTGTTCTTATCTTAAAGGTAAAGGATGGCTTCCCTGGTGGCGCAGTGGTTGAGAGTCCGCCTGCCGATGCGGGGGACACGGGTTCGTGCCCCGGTCTGGGAAGATCCCACGTGCCGCCGCGGAGCGGCTGGGCCCGTGAGCCATGGCCGCTGAGCCTGCGCGTCCGGAGCCTGTGCTCCGCAACGGGAGAGGCCGCAACAGTGAGAGGCCCGCGTACCGCAAAAAACAAAACAAAACAAAACGATAAAGGAGTGTGCCAGAGCTGCTCGGTTTGACTGGGAGCCTTGTTACCACTTTTCCCCTTTGGCCACTGGAAAGGGTTTTCTCTTTTTGCGCCACTCTAACTAAAAAACAGGTCCAACCTTCTTGTTTAAACTGTCCTTCCTTTTAATCCCTGGTGCCTTTTTTCTGTGTCTCAGGTACAGGGAAGGGCAACTTAATACATTGTTATTGGTTGCTGTTACATTTTGCCTCTTGTTTAAAATTGTACAAGTTTTTACAAAGAATAGATGCGCACCTAAAGATCACAGAAGGGCTTCAAGCATTGCTGTAAAGTGGAGGCTCTTCCCCGCCGCCCCCAGTCCGGCTCCTCAGAGGCAGCCGCCCCTCAAGTCTGCCTTCAGGTTTTTTCGTGGTTGTGGCATTATCATTTTAATTACTTCCACGTTAATACTTATAACTTACACACATAATCTCCATTTCTTAGTTTATTAACTCAAGCATCTATTTGTTGACTCCCTGGTGTAAAACAGGGACTTGACCTCAACTGTCTCACACCCCTCCACCTCCACGCTGTCCAATTGTTGCTGTTGTTGTTTTTTACTATATATGTCAGCTTTATGGAGATGGAACTCACGTATGATACTTTTCACCCGTTTGAAGTGTACGATTCGGTAGTTTTTAGTGAATTCACAGAGTTGTGCAACCATCCCCACAGTCGATTATAGAGCATGTCCTGACCCTCAGAAGAACCTCTCATCTGTTAACTGTAACTCTATTTCCCTCAACCCTGGGCAACCACTAATACATTCTGTCTCTGGAGATTTCCCCATTCTGGACTTTCATATGAATGGAGTCATGTGATATGTGGTCTTTCGTAATTGGCTTCTTTCACTTAGCATCATGTTTTCAGGGTTCATCTGCATTGTAGCCTGTGTCAGTATTCCATTCCTTTTTATGGGTGAATAATATTCACATTTTATCCATTCGTCAGTTGATGAACATTTGATGGACATTTGATGCTATGAATAATGCCATTGTGAGCATTTGTGTAGAAGTCTTTGTGTGGACGAATGTTTTTGTTTCTCTTGAGTATATACCCAGGAGTGGAATTGCTGTGTCATGTGGTAACTCTGTTTCACCTTTCGCAGTATCTTGGTGTTTAACCCTAACCTCTGTATCCCGCAGTAGCTGCACCGTTTTCCATTCCCACCAGCAGTGCCTGGGGCTCCAGTTTCTCCATGTGTCCTCACCAACATGTGTTAGTGTCTGTGTTTTCCGTTACAGCCGTCCTAGCGGGTGCGAAGCGGGAGCTCATGGGGGTTTTGATCTGCGGCTCCCTGAGGGCTGATGATGTTGAGCAGGTGCTCATAGACTTAATAAAAAGACAGAAGTCCTGGCCGGAGCTGCCTTTCCTTTGCTCCCGTTTGAGTCCGGTAGTGGAGGCACCAGCTCCGCCCTTCTCTTGCTGCCCCACACCACCCGCCCACCCCGGAGCCCGCCTGCTGTCGAGGCCAGCGCTGCTGCCACCCACTTGCTGGGTATGAGGCGGGGTCCTCGTCCCTCGGAACCTGGTCCCCTGCCTGCCTCGGCAGTCGGCCCCCACCCTGCTCTCCACAAGTGCACCCTGAACGTGGGTGGCCTCTGGATCCTTTCCTACTTTCTGTGGAGTCAGTTCTCGCCTATCAGTGTCCTGGGTGGGTTCTCCCTGATGCTGTTAGTCTAATGACATCATCTTTCTGTATTCTGGGCATTGCTCAAAATTCCTTGTCCACAGGTGGTCGCCCTTATTGAGAAATATATCCGTTCTCTCGTTTCCGTGGGACCTTGAGGGGAAAGTGGGTGTGTTTGTCGTCACCATTTTGAACCCAAACCTCCATTTGGTCACGCCTCGTTGTTTTCCATCTGCAGTAGTAGGATTCTGGGTGCCTGGAGCAGCGCCTGGCACACGGTAGGTGCTTAGCAAAGGCTGGGTCAGTGCCGAGTGAGGGAAGGTTAAGTACTTAGCGCCTCAAGATGCTCCCATGGACTGAGGGTGTCTCAGCTGCTTGCGGGTCCCTTAGAGGCGGAACAGGGTGTCCCCAGACAGCCCCCCAGCTGAAGCTCATTGACGAAGCCTTCAAGCCAGTTGTCTGTGGGCGGGGCGATAAAGGGGCTCCTATTCCTTCTTCATAGTTTTCTGAACCTTTATGATAAACTGCTTTTTTCACTGTGTCTAAGTAAACGTTCCAGAAAGGATACTTTGTGGGTTTGACCTCATGCTTGTGTCTTATTCCTCAGAGGTCACCTTTGTCCCCGTGTCCAAGGTGAATGGGCAGGTGGAGGCTGAGGACATCCTGGCGGCCGTCCGCCCGGCCACGTGCCTCGTGACCATCATGCTGGCCAATAACGAGACAGGCGTCATCATGGTGAGTCGCGGCCCCTCTTAGGAAGATAGAGCGCGGACCCTGGCTTCCCAGACCCGCCTCTTCTTTCCCCTGCTCTTCAATCCGGGAACCTTTCGGTGCATCCTCATTAACAACTCCTCATTTCCCTCATTCCGTCTTCATCAAATCAACACACTCAGCCGTGTGTTTCTCCCTCTCCAGCCGGTGCCTGAGATTAGCCGGCGAGTCCGAGCCCTGAACCAGCAGCGGGCGGCGGGCGGGCTGCCGGGGGTGCTCGTGCACACGGACGCCGCCCAGGCCTTGGGGAAGCGGCGCGTGGACGTGCGGGACCTGGGCGTGGACTTTCTGACCGTCGTGGGCCACAAGGTGCGTCCGTCTGCCTTCCTGCCCTCCTGCCGGGGAGACGCCTCGATGCCCGGGAGGCTCACCTGCGAGCAGAGCCCGCGGCCCCGCTCATCCTCCGTCACCGGTGCACCCGGCGCACATGCCCAGCGAGGCCCTGGGTCATGGTGATGGGCAGACCGCGGCCCCGCCCTCGGCAGCTCAGAGGAGAGCCCGGCAGAGCTAGGATGCCGAGGGCTGAGTGCCCACCGGGAATGCTGGGCAGGGCAGCTCATAGGGGGTAGGAGGGGAGGCCAGGCAAGGCCTTCGGCGGAGGGGGGAATGGTTGGGGGAGAGGCGGGGTCGGGGGAAGGATGGGGGGAGTGGAGGTCACAGGTGGGTTTAGCCTGGGAGTGAGTGAGCTCTGCAGCATGGAGAGTGTGTGCAGACCCCTCCTCAGCCCACTCACCCCCGCACCCAGGGACGGAAGATGCAGGGTTCAAGAATGATGGCTTCTCTAACTTGACTTAAACTGTGGCTCTGAGTGTGAGGTTGTGGTTTTCACAGCCCTCATCTCTAGGGTGTGCTGGGGAAATAGTTAACAGTGAAGACCCTTCTGAAGCTTTTGCTCATCTTTCCAGCAGCTGACTAGAAGCTGGATTATTTTTAGTAATTTCCCCTCAGCTGGTTCCCAAGGGAGTGAGGTGCTGGCCTGACATGGGGGCCCTTGAGATTTCTAGCTAATGTGGATTTGAGAGCATGGAGTCATCTGCAGGACAGCCCTTGGCCATCTCTCTCTCCAGCCCCTCTCCTTCACAGAGTCTCCCACGCGCCGTGCAGGTGCTCTGCTGCCCCCGAGCTGGGGGCCAGAGTCCAGCACCTGCCCCCACCCAAAGGCTTCTGTGACCCCTGCGTGTCTGCAGTGGGGATGGGTGGCCACCTGCGGGACCGGAGGAGGCGGGCCTGGACGTCATAGAGTATCTCTGTGGGCCTCTCAATACATATATGGAAAAGGTCCCCAGAAGGTTCTTGTTGAATAAATGACTGACTTTTCTTTCAGTTTTATGGCCCCAGGATTGGAGCACTTTATGTCCGAGGGCTTGGTGAACTCACCCCTCTGTACCCTATGCTGTTTGGAGGTGGACAAGAACGGAATTTCAGGCCAGGGTAAGGTAGAAGTTTAACGAGGTGTCTGGGCCGCTGGCTGTGTTGTCTGTATGTAGGGCAGTGGCTCTCCCGTCTCTTGGGAGCACGGTGATAGCACAGCACTCTCATCTCCACTGAGTCAGACGTGGCTCCACTGGCCGGTTCTACACTTGGGACTCACAGATCTGCAGTCTCGTTGGGGATGATTCAAAGCAGATGAAGGAAGTCTCTTTCAGCTGCTTCAAAGCATCCAGTTCCTTTTGTTATTTTGGCCCAGCCCACCAAAGAGGTGCTGCCGGAGCCCCCCGGCTGAGATGTGCTGCCCTTCTCTTGACTATGGGGTGAGCACCTGGTTTCCTCTCTGAAAGCGCCTGTGTCCCTGTGACCTGCAGGGGTGTTTTAACCAGGGAATGAGGTGGCACCAGCACCACACGTGTTGTCAGAAACTTGATAACAAGAGGAAGAAACAGACAACATGTGGTGAGTCCCCTAGGGTTTCTCTTGCTTCCTTTATTCCAGAATTAGAGCAGAAGAAGCCCGCAACTCAGAAACACCAATAAGGGCTGATGAAAAATGCCCAAGAAAGCCCTCTCTCTCCAGCCAGTGGACCAGGGAAAGGAGAGCCTAGCAATACAGAGAACTTTTAGACAATACCTGCCCTTCTCCAGCCCGTCACCATGGTAAACTGCTGCTACCCCCACCTGTGCCACAAAGGAGAGTAGGGAGCCCAGACTTCACCCACACAGGCTGTGACAAGAGCCCCACGCCCCGCCTGTGTCAGACAGGGCCTAGTGAAGAGCCAGGACTTTTGCCCCACCACAGTCATGCACCCCACCAAGGTGTCAGTGGAGACCACGTGGGCACCCTGGGCTTCCACCCATACCCATCACTAACATCTCCTCTTGGATGTTGACACGGGCCGAGGAGGGAACCTGGACATCTGCCCCCGCTTGGCAGTAGTCAGTTGGCACACTCCTTCCAGAGGAAGGTCAAAAAAAGACAGCTAATACGGAAGGGTTAAGAAGCATCCAGATTCATAATGACATAGGGCTGTCCAGGTTTCAACTGAAAATCGTTCATCATACTGAGAACCAGAAAGATCTTAAAGAAAAAAGACGATCAAGAGATGCCAACACTGAGATGACAAAGATGTTAGAATTATCTGATAAGAGATTTTAAGGCAAACACAATAAAAATGCTTTAATGAGCAATTATGAACACCCTCGAAACAGAAGAAATAGAAAGTGTCAGCAAAGAAGAAGAAATGTAGAGAAGAACCAAACAAATTTTAGAACTAAAAACTACAACAGCCAAAGTGAAAAGCTCAGTGGACAGGCTCACCAGCAGAATGGGGCAACAGAGGAAAGAGTGAACTGAAAGAACAATAGAAGTAACCAATATAAAAAACAGACAGGAAGTAGACTGGAAGAAGATTGAACAGAGCCTCCGGGGACCTGTGGGACTATAGCAAAAGATCTAACATTCATTTCGTTGAGGTCCTGGAGGGACAGGAGAAAGAGGGTGGGATGAAAAAGAACTTGAAGAAATAATGGCTGAAAACTTCCCAAATTTGGCAAGAGACATAAACCCACAGATTCAAGAAGCTGAACAAAACCCAAACAGGATAAACCAAAAGAAATCTACCCTAAGACATAAATAGTAAACTTCCATAAAAGAAAGACAAAGAAAAATCTTGAAAGCAGCCAGAGGAAAGAATAAATAACACCTTATCTGTAGGAAAAAAATAATTTGAATGACAGTAGATTACTATTCTGAAGCCATGGAGGCCAGAGAAAGTATGCAAAAATTTTCAAGTGCTCAAAGAAAAGAACTGTCAAACCAAATTAAAAACACAGCAGAAATATCCTTCAGGAACGAAGAGGAAATCAAGACATTCTCAGATGAAAGAGAAAACTAACAGAATTTGTCACCAGAAAACCTATGCTAAAAATGACTAAAGAAGTTCTTTACACAGAAAGGAAACAGTAAAAGAAGGAACCTTGGAACATCAGAGAGAAAGAGCATGGTAAACAAAAATATGGGTAAATAGGGGGCTTCCCTGGTGGCGCAGTGGTTGAGAGTCCGCCTGCCGATGCAGGGGATGCGGGTTCGTGCCCTGGTCCGGGAAGATCCCATATGCCGCGGAGCGGCTGGGCCCGTGAGCCATGGCTGTTGAGCCTGCGCGTCCGGAGCCTGTACTCCACAACGGGAGAGGCCACAACAGTGAGAGGCCTGCGTACCACAAAAAAAAAAAAAAAAAAAACGGTAAATAAAATAGACTTTCCTTCTCTTCAGTTTTCTAAATTATGTTTGATGGCCTAAGCAAAAATCATAGCACTGTCTGATGTGTTTCAAAATGTATGTGGAAGAAATATTTAAGATAATTATATTATGAATGGGGGAGGGTAAAGGGATGTAAAAGGAGGTGGTAAGGTTCCTGTTCTTCACTTGAACTTCTGAAAACTGTTTAAGTAACCCACAGAAAGGTAGGAAAAAGAAAACAGAGAAAAAATAAAATGGAAGACTTAAGCCCGAACATCAACAATTACATTAAATGTAAATGGTATAAATATACCAATTAAAAGGCAGAGATTGGCAGAATAAAAATTTTAAAAACTGATCCAACTATATGCAGTCTATAAGAAACTTGCTTCAAATATAGCAAGAGGCAAGTTAAAAGTAAAGGTTGGAAAAAAGTGTATCACACTAACGTTAATCTAAGGAAAGCAGGAATGCCTATATAACATGAGATAAAGGAGACTCCAGAGCAAAGAAAATAGAAAATTACCGGGGATGGGGGAGGCAGGGGGAATTATATAATGATAAAAGGATCAGTCCACCAAGAAGACATAGCAATCCTAATGTGGATGCACTAAACAGTAGAGCTGAAAAGTATGTGAGGAATAAAAAAACCAAACTAAACTGAAAGGAAAAATAGACAGATCCACAATTATAGATGGAGACTTCAACACCCTTCCCTCAACAATGGATAGAACAACTAGACAAAATTGGCTAAGGTGTAGAAGAACGCAATAACACCCATCAACCAACAGGATCTAATCAACCTGTTTGGAACACTCCACCCAACAACAGCAAAATACACATTCTTTTTTTTTTTTTTTTTTTTGGCAATACGCGGGCCTCTCACTGTTGCGGCCTCTCCCGTTGCGGAGCACAGGCTCCGGACGCACAGGCTCAGTGGCCATGGCTCACGGGCCCAGCTGCTCAGCGGCATGTAGGATCCTCCCGGACCAGGGCACGAACCCATGTCCCCTGCATCGGCAGGCAGACTCTCAACCACTGCGCCACCAGGGAAACCCGAAGAGTAGTTTTTCAGTTTGTTACATCAGTGTATGGGAACCACTGGTCTTCGGGGGTGTTCCTGTCCCCTCCTGCACAGCCCCCCTGAACACACACACTACGCCCCAAGTCTGTAGTAACAAAAGATTCATCCCATATTACAGTTGAGAGGCTTCAGCTGAAACGTCACCTGAAGGGAATGGAGTGGGGAGTGAGTTCCTCAGACCCTCACCTGGTTTGGCAGGGAGACCAAAGAGGGGGGCTCTGGGGCCTGCAGTCGGAGGAGGGCTTTCTCCTGGGTAGGAGGTGGGTCCAGGTAGAATTGTCACGTGGACACCCACTGTATGTTGCCCACAGTGGGCCACATCTACTGTCCCTGGGCGATGACGAGGGTTCGGGGGCTGGCAGCTGCCCTTATTTAGGAAAGATGTTGGTGTGACTTTATTTGAACACCTGACTTTCAGATAGACAGGATTCCTTCCAGGGATGTCTGTTAATCGCTTTGCATGGAAATAGGATTGAATCCTTTGTCTCTTACAGGACAGAGAACACCCCGATGATTGCCGGCCTTGGGAAGGTAAGCCTTGGTGACCTCGGACAGCTGAAGCCGTTGCGTTGTCCATCGATGTCTTCCTCCTGTGTTTCCACCTCACTCTCACACCACTGCCACACTCACCACACTTCTGACACCAGATGTGCGGGGTTGGGGGTCCCCACCCAGCAATTCTGTGGCACCAGCTGAGTTTCCTACAATTCAATTCTGACACTGTCTACCCAGAGTTACTGTCAGAGCCCACAGGCTAAGGGCTCAGTTGTGGGCACCCACAACTTCAGATGCCAACTGCCACCCGCACTTCTGACCAACCAGCTGTGAATCAGAGGTTCCCATGGCCCCTCCTTGAGTTCAGTGTATTTGCTAGAACAGCTCACAGAACGCAGAGAAACTAGAGTACTGATTTATTATGAAAGGATATGATAAAGGGTACAGGTGAACCTCCAGAAGGAAGAGAAGTGTAGGGCAGGGGATGTGGGAAGGGGCTTCCACGCCCTCTCCAGGCACCAGCCTCCTAGCACCTCTGTGGTCAGCAACCTGGAAGCTCTCTGAACCCACACTGTTGAGGTTTCTGTGGAGGCTTTGATCAGTCATCAACTCCGTTTCCAGCCCCTCTCCCGCCTCTACAAAAATTCCAGGCTTCTAATCAGGACTCGGTGACCAGCCCCTATCCAGGAGCCCACCCGGGGTCGCCTCATTAGGGCAAAAGACACTGTCACCCAGGAAGTTCCAAGGGATTTAGGAGCTTGGCAGCAGGAAGCAGAGCCCAAGCCAGAATATTAGAATAAAGGCTGCTCCTCCTGCTTAGGAAATTCCAAGGGTCTCAGGAGCTCCGTGCCTGGTCCAGGGCGGAGGCCAGAGCGCATATTTTCTACGATCTCACATCAGTTTCCCAGCAGCTTTAACAGGTATCCTGGCTTTAGGAGAGATCACGTTCATGATCCCAAGACACAGACCAACATAAGAGGAACCTTGAATGGTGTTTATCAACCTGGAGATGTGCTGTTTAAGAAATGTGGAGTGGGTTTCATACGCTTAGCATTTAAAAGGGAAGCATCTTTTCTCAAGTCTCTTCTAATATTAAAAGCAATGACGTCATCACCACAGGTTTGCTCCTCCCCTGGGTCCAGTTACCCCCCGCCCCCCGAGATGGTGACAGAGGGGCAGCTTCTTAAAGATCTTCCTGATGAGGATTAGATGGCGGCGCAGCAGCGGCAGGCCCCTCCGCTCCCTTCTGCAGCCGTGACCCTTTCCTCGCTCCTGGCTTGCACCTGTGCCCGGGCCCTCTGACCCTGCTGTCACTGGAGGGGTGGCACACCATTGTCGCCCCCTCCCCTTGCTCAGCCTGGCCCTTCTCGGTGTGGTCTGGCTCGGGACACGCCCCCCCTCTCCCCGGGAGGTGTGTCCTGGCCCCCCTGGGGCGAGTCAAGGTCTCTATGCTGCCTTCCACCCCTTCCCCATGTGCCGACTGAAGAAAGGCGCCCCCCTGCGGCCACCCCCTGCCCTGCACCCTCACAGTCTTCTGCCAGGGTGTTCCTCCCCCAGCCTTTAAAACCGGCCTCCCATGGTCCTCACTGCTCCAGCTTCTTCCCGGGTCCTCCGCCCCACAGAGCAGCCCGCACGCATTCTCACCCCCTACCCTTCTCCTGACACCTGCTCTGCTCCCCAGAAGCTGGTCGAGGAGGTCCCCATTTCGCCCTGTGACCTCCTGCAGCTGTGGGACCGCTTCTCCCCCCAGAGGTTCCTTCTCTGCCTCCTCACCCGTCAGCATCCTGGGTGCCTCCTCTCTCTCTCGCTGTGCTCACCCTGTCCCGTGGCTCTGATGCCAGCCTGTGCTCCGGTCTTGGACTTGACGTCTCAGGGCAGGTCCTGACCTGCTGGGAGGCCCACGTCCCGCCTGCTTCCTCAGCGTGTCCTCTGAGCCCACGATGTGTCCTGCTCTCTCTCCTGCATCGTTGGCGTCTCTCCCCGTGGTGCCTCCTGCCACCCAGGCTCTCAGCTGAGAAATCTAGGAGGTGCCCTTGATCTGCCCTGTCCCGTCCCCCGCACCTGACGCAGCAGCCGGGCCTGTCTGTTCAGTCTCCACGAGAGGTCCAGGACCTGCCTCTTGTACCGACTCCAGGCCGGATCATCCCCGTCTTTGTGGACGCCACATCCACTCTCCACGTAGCATCCAGTTCTAACACACAAATCAGAGCAGCCCACCCCTTCCTCAAAATCCACGTGTATCTGCCTTGTGTTTAGGCTCAGATCCCGCCTGTCCTGGGGCCTCTGGGGCGCTGTCCCCCTCGCTCACTCTGTTTCAGGAGCACTCGCCTTTCCCCCTGCAGGGCCTTTACCTGGAATGCCCTTCCCCGCTGCCCCGAGTTCCCGTCACGGCGCCCACCCGCCGGTCTGCCGTGGTCACCTCTTCCCTGGTGTGTCTGTCCCTGGGATGGACGTGCCTTCAGGACTGGGATTGCCTTTGGTCACCGGCTAGGGACCCTGCAGCGCCTGGGGTATCCGGAAGCCTGAAAAAGTGAATTCCTGTTAACAAGTGAAGGGTACTCGGCACTTATCCCGGCCCCGGTCACGCGGTCGGCGCGTACTGTGTATCCGTGAGGTTCCAGAGAGTGAGCAGTTTGAGGCCGTGTCACCGGTCTGCCTTCGGGGAGAATCACCTCTGCTGCTTAAAGCTGTCTTGCTCCCCTTGTTTCACCGTAACTGAGGGGCCCTCCTGTGTCCCTAGGCGGCTGAGCTGGTGGCAGAGAAGTGCGAATCCTATGAAGCCCACATGCAGGCTGTGCGCAACTACCTGGAGGAGAGGCTGGTGGTGAGCGCCTGCGGCCCGGGTCCCGGGGACAGTGAGCGCCCGCGGCCCGGGGCTCCGGGGACAGTGAGCGCCCGTGGCCCGGGGCTCTGGGGACGGCGGGGCCGAGGCCCAGGGCTCTGGGGGCAGTGAGCGCCCGCGGCCCGGGGCTCTGGGGACAGTGAGCGCCTGTGGCCCGGAGCTCTGGGGACAGCGAACGCCCGTGGCCCGGAGCTCTGGGGACAGTGAGCGCCCGTGGCCCGGAGCCCTGGGGACAGCGAGCGCCCGTGGCCCGGGGCTCTGGGGACAGCAAGCGCCCGCGGCCCGGGGCTCTGGGGACAGCGAGCGCCCGTGGCCCGGGGCTCTGGGGACAGCAAGCGCCCGTGGCCCGGGGCTCTGGGGACAGTGAGCGCCCGTGGCCCGGGGCTCTGGGGACAGCGAGCGCCCGTGGCCCGGAGCTCTGGGGACAGTGAGCGCCCGTGGCCCGGAGCCCTGGGGACAGCGAGCGCCCGCGGCCCGGGGCTCTGGGGACAGTGAGCGCCCGTGGCCCGGAGCTCTGGGGACAGTGAGCGCCCGTGGCCCGGAGCTCTGGGGACGGCGGGGCCGAGACCCCCAAGGCGGGCTCCAGACCAGGCGACTTTCTCAGACACGTGACAGAAATACCAGAGGTGGAATATCTCAGGGTTGTGTGAAGATGATCCAAATGTATTCAGAAGTTTCTTCTCCCAGTTAACTTTGCTCTCCATAGCCAGTCTCCCTGACTATTATCAGTAGATGCTTATCAGTAAGATAATCATTCTGTGTGTTGAGGGTGAGGTTTTTTTTTTTTTCCTGCCACACCATGTGGCTTCCGAGATCTTAGTTCCCCAACCAGGGATTGGACCCAGGCCCTCAGCAGTGAGAGTGCAGAGCCCTAACCACCGGACCGCCAGGGAATTCCCGAGAGTGAGGTTTTGTTTTCCAGAAAGTCTGAAGTTCAAGCAGTTGGGGGGAGGGGGCTTCGAAGATGTTACTGCACATATTCTGTTCATTTTCCAGGCTGAGTTTGGTGAGCGAGTCCATCTGAACAGCCAGTTTCCAGGCACTGAGCGACTCCCCAACACCTGTAACTTCTCCATCCAGGGACCCCGGCTGCAAGGTGACGACTGCCCCCAGCTCTCCCTGGCTGGGGGCTGGGCTGGGCTGGGCACAGCTTGAGCTGTGGGGAGGCATGGGCACTGGCCGAGGGCAGGGTCACCCCACCAGGCACTGTCCTGTGGTGGTGGGACTCTGGGCACAGCTGCTGACCTGCTCCAGGTGCTAAGGCTCTCTCTGGACACAGCACAGCGGCGCTCAGCTCTCACAGGGTCCTAGCCCCACCCCAAAGATGTGAGGGATGGAGATAAAGTGAACTGAATTTTAGGTTTGTCCATCTTTGTCTGCAATTTTTACAAAACATTTTATGAGGGTCAGGAAAGTAGAGGCAACCAAGTGAAAACTGGCCCAGAGTCAGGCTGAAGTGCAGATCTGGGGGCTTCATTAGTTCCCGCGGTCTCTGCCTCCCAGCTGGAAAAGTTAGGGTTCGGGTTAGGATTAGCCTTAGGGCGACTCGTATCCCAGACGCTTAGGACTTGGCTGCCCGGAGTCCCTGAGGCTTGAGTCCTGGGTGTAGAGCATCCTGTTTGTCTGGGAGGAGATTATGGTGGCCCCGAGAGCACGGGAGAGCCGACCTGAAGGGCAGTTTTCACCTCTTAGAAGAAGAGGTCGTTGCCTCCTGGTCACTCTGAGAAACGGGGCAGCGTGTTTGGACCACGAAGAAACCCTGGGGCGGCCGTCACCGGGTCTGGAGTGCATCCTCCTTGGGAAGGAAGCGCACGGCTAACTCTCCAGGTCTCCCTGCTGTGGGAAGGGAAGTTCCTCCCTCTAGTGTCTTCCCCCCTTCTTCTGGGGGCAGACTTTATATTCTGTGATGACCTGTGTTAATTTAAATGAGACAGGCTGTTCGTTTTAATTAAATCACAGTCGTCGGTGTTGGGGGTTTTGTTTGTTTATGTTTTTGGTTTTTTTTGGCTGTGCCACGTGGCTTGTGGGATTTTTAGTTCCCTGACCAGGGATCGAACCCGGGTCCTCGGCAGTAAGAGGGTAGAGTCGTACCCACTGGACCGCCAAGGAATTCCCATCATTGTATTTTTTTAAATCTCTGTGCCTGTGAAGGAAGAGGGAAGTACCTTCTAGCTTAACACAGACAAGCTCCCAGTGTCTCTCCCTTCAGAAAACGGAGACGTCAAGTTAGACATTATTACCAGGACAGCACGTTATTCGGTAAGGCAGCTCGTCAGGATTCTGCGAGTCCTGCCAGGCAGCTGGTGGTACCACATTCTCAAGGCCAGTCTTATGAGGCCGAAGAGTGTCTGCTTTTCTGCAGCCAAGGGGCAGAGGAAGCGCTTCCTCTGGGACCTGCTGTGGTTTCTCTCACCTGCCGTCAGAGGGACCTGTGCCCTGGGATTCCGTCAGGTGGTACGAGGGAGGGAGCGTCCAAACTTGCAGCAGGGAAGAGAGGCAGCCCCCGCCTGGACTCCACCTCAGGGGCCCTGTGCTCTGTCTCCTAGGCCGCTTGGTGCTGGCCCAGTGCAGGACGCTGCTGGCCAGCCTGGGGGCTGCGTGCCACTCGGACCATGGAGACCGGTGAGTGCTCTCCACGTACTTGGCCGCGGCATGCAGGGCGCATCCGGGCTCTAGGTTTGGGCAGCTGTGCAGCCTAGCAGGGGCGTGGACAGTGACCAGACGGTGCAGGCCCTCGGGAGGAGCGAGTGGGAGCTGCAGCCGTCAGGGGCCTCGGGCTGGACCGGGAGACGGGCAGCAGGGCTCCGCGTGAGGTGGGGAGCGGGGAGGAGGGGCGGGCTGGTGCAGCAGGGCCGGGCTGCGGGCGCCCACTTCAGCCTCGAGAAAACCGGGAGCTGTGACCAGATTTGGGTTCAGATCACGCCCCCTGCCAGGAGCGGGCGGAAGCGGGAGGCGAGGGTGGAGCCTCGGGCCTGGGCATCGGGAGCAGCCCTGCTGGAGGAAGAGAAGGGGGTTCGGTTTCTTGGGGGGCCCTGCAGGCGGGAGTAGAGCTGGATGCGGCCACCTGGGCTCTGGAGAGAGCGCAGCTGTGGTCGTGATGAGCAACAGGCCTCTGTTCGAGGCCAGGGCACCGGGACCAAACTCAGCACTGACTTGGGCGGGCCGCAGCCTCCAGGGTCTGCAGGAGGCCGTCCCTCTGCCTCGCGTGTGGCTCAGCGTCCCCTCCAGGAACTGAGCCCGCTAGCTCCTTGGAGACGGGAGTTGCCACAGTACCCCGGGCTCCGGCTCTCGGGTGCAGGGGCCAGCGGCCGCCTCTGTGCTCCCGGGGTCGGGGCCTGTGCCAGGGCAGGCCCGGCTGGAGAGCAGGGAGGCTTTGAGCCGGCCCTTGGTGACGGTGGGCCAAAGAGTGTGCGTGGCCAGTGGGGAGCTGGCCAAGGACACGCGGCAGCCTGGGAGAGCCCGTGTCCTGACGGCTGGCCCGTCTCCCCGCCCCACAGGCCATCCCCAGTGCTGCTGAGCTGCGGTGTCCCCTTGGACCTGGCCAGGAACGCCATCCGGCTCAGCGTGGGCCGCGGCACCACCCGGGCCGAAGTGGACCTCGTCGTGCAGGACCTGAAGCAGGCGGTGGCCCGGCTGGAGGGCCAGGCCTAGTGCCCAGGGCGGTGCCAGAAGGAGTCTTCCTCTTGTCCCAGAGCGTGTGGGCTCCGGGCTCCTTCCCGTCCCGTGGTCAGTGAGGAAGCGGGTCTGCTGGGCCCACAGACGCCACCGGTGCTGAGGGGCCCAGGACAAGATGCCCTCGTGGACCGTCCCTGTCACTGCTGCCCAGTGGCACCATTGGATTAGAAACTCTTTAGCCGCGTCCACCCTCCCCTCTGGGAAGCGGGGCGGGCTTGTTGTAAGCACGCCCTTCCTGGAAGGTGGCATTTTTATCCGAAAGGTAAAATGCTAGTATTTATAATTGATTGTCAGCTGCTCTCATGGAAATAGGAGACCTGGTTTTTGGCTGCTGTCCTGGCCTCTGTGCACCTTTTGGCTGAGAGGTCGGTCCCTCCTCACCCTCATGGCCCTTCTCAAGCCCTTTCCAGAGGGTGGGGGCCCCTGTGGTCAGGCCCCTCCCCGCTGGGCGTCCCCCCGCTTCCGGGCCCGCCCATCCTCCTGATCACTTGCTGGTCACTCGGGCCATCGACCACTGGGCGCCCTCTCTCCCAGTCCGCAGGCCCCTCCCGTCCCTTCCATTCGATCATTTGCTCAGGGTTTCAGCTCAGCCGTCAGAGTCACGGGCGGCAGCGCCTGCGTGATGCTGGCTCATTCCCAAGGCGGAAAATCGTTCATCCCTCGCTCAGCTCCCATCTCAGTTGTATTTGCGGGAGGATTCTTTGATCTTCACAGTGGCATTGTGGTGTCTGATTCACATCAAATGTCATGTCTATGGAGACATTTACATAGGAGTGGGTTTTTTTAATTGAATAACACTTGTAATGTGCGGTTGAAAGGTGCAAGGAACTTCGTGATGGCTCTGAGGAAACAACCGTCAGAAATTAGATGAACTAATAAAAGCTTCCAGTGCTTGTTTTGGACATTTTGTGGTTCTTCTAGTGGGTTCTTCTTGGGGGCACAGTGTGACTGTGCCGGCAGCGGGGTGGGGTCAGACCCACTGCTCACTGCATAATCACGCCTTAGCTTCAGGAACTCGGCTTGCGACTGTGTCTCTGGGAGCTCTAGAAAGTAGGTCCCCAACATGCAGCATCCTGCTTCCGCCAGGCAGAGGCTGTGGTGTCCCGATTCCCCCAGCAAAGAACTATGGGTGTCCAGGCCCACAGAAGAGAACAGTCTGGAAAAAGATGCAGCTCTGAAAAATGCACTCGGGGCCTTTAGCTGCAGGGCCAGAGACTCTCGGTCAGGGCCCTGTGCCCGTCACCGGCCCTGGGGAGCAGCTGCTGTCCAGAGGTTCACGGAGCCTCCAAGGCCAGCTGAGGCCAGGATCCAGCATAGATCTCCCAGGGGCCAGGAAGGCCCCCAGCTCCCGGTGGGTGACAACATGTCCCAAACACTTAAGTTCCCCAGAAAGGGCTCCACTTGGATGGGTCCGCCCTCCCGTGAGAAGGGTCTCCCAGGTGGCCTCCCATGGCCCAGCACAGCCCTCAGGGCGGCTGCCTACCGCTTTCTGGAAAGGACACTGCAACTGTGAACACCTGCTCGACACGGGAAGTCCATCCCAGCCCTCGCTCCACGGGAGGAGGAGGCGTGGGCCAGCACAGGGCAGTGCCCCCTGGGCCAGCACCCACCCCCAACCCAAACCCGGTGTGGGCCCTTCCCCCGCGCCCTCTGCCCACCACAGCTCCGGGCGCCGCGGGAGTGGCTGGGGCTGGGCTGCGGAGGCCCGGTCCCCAAGGCCTGTCCCCCCACCCCCCTGCCGCCTCCCATCTGCCCTCTGCGCCGCTTATCAGGTAACCGGAGCCGGGAGCTGCGTCCACGCCTGAAACAGGAAGCCCGGGCCTGTGCGCGAGTTGAGGAGAGCCGGCCGGGTGGATGGAGGAGCAGCGGGCGCTCGCGGCCGCCAAGGATGGGGACCTGGCCACCCTGGAACGGCTGCTGGAGGCGGGTGCCCTGGGCCCGGGGGTCACCGACGCCCTGGGGGCCGGCCTGGTGCACCACGCCACCCGGGCCGGCCACCTGGCCTGCGTCAAGTTCCTGGTTCAGCGGGCCCAGCTACCCAGCAACCAGCGGGCCCATAACGGGGCCACACCGGTGCATGACGCCGCCGCCACCGGTAGCCTGGCCGAAATGTGCTGGCTGGTGCGCGAAGGGGGCTGCGGTCTGCAGGTGAGCCGAGCGGGCACGGTGGCCGCGGGGGGACCCGTGTCCATGGGGATGGAGGGAGGCGTGAGCAGAGAGCCGGATCCAGAGCCCTCGGCCTCCCCTGGGCACCTCGGCCCTGGGCTGTTCCTCTCGGGGAGTCACCACGCGGGCCCCACGGCACAGTCAATGGCGTCTGTCTCTGCCCAACGTCCCTCCGCCCCCAAAGTGGGCACCTCCTAAACCCCCTCGCGTCCCCCAGCGCACAGCACAGAGTGGCCATCCTTGTTCTTCCTCCCCACGTCCCACCCAGGGGCACCTGGCCTTGCCAGTGGCGATCTCACGGAGCCCTTATCAGGCCTGATCCGTGGGCCTGTTTCCGAAGGGTCTAGAAAAGGGTCCTTACGAAGAGAAGCAAGGTGGGCACTCGGGCTCGGGAGCTGTGGGCACCGGCCTGGACGCCCGGGGGCCCCGGTGGGTGACAGCACAGGCGCAGCTGTGGGGGGCAGTGGGACGAGAACCTTGATGTGAAGAGAAGAGTCTCAGGGCCCGCCTCTCCCTTTTCCTGCCGGCCCGGTGGGTGCTCCGTGTGGGGGTGAAGGACCACGGGAGGTCGGTGAGCCAGCTCTGACGGTGTAAGGACGTCCTCCCAGAGGCCGGAGTCGGGGGGTGGGCATCACCGTGACCCACTCGGTCCGGGACGGGGAGGACTCGGCGGTCACAGCCTGAGCGTCTCAACAGCCTCCAGGCCGCCGTCCTCATCCTCAGCGGCTCTTCGCACAACCCCGGGGGCGGGAGCGGGGCCACCTCTGTGCCTGGGAGAACGCCCAGGTCTGCCAGAGGCCCACGGTGTATAGGGTGCCCGGCAAGAGGACTCGGGGGCCGGCGGGTGGGCGCTCAGTGGGGGTGGGGCAGAGGCCCAGAGACGCCGCATCCCTGGACACGGGGCAGGCCACCGGCCGGCGCGGGCGCAGCTGGGCGAGCGAAAGCCGCTCTGACTGCGAGCAGAGAAGGGGAGGGAGCTCGGATGCACTTGGACCCAGAAGGCCTGGACTTGATCCTGGCCCTGCCGCCGACCTCTCAGTCCCAGAGACCTCCCTCCGCACGCCCCGCGATGGAGCACGCCGGACGGAGGGGCGGGGCGGAAGCTCTCCGCCGGGGTCCCGGGCGCTGTGGTGCCGGGCGGCTGGCCCTGGCCGCACCGGTGCTGCCGGGCAGGGCTGGGTCCGGGCCCGCCGCCCGCTCACCGCCCCGTCCGTGCCTCCGTAGGACCGAGACTCCTCGGGCGTCTCGCCGCTGCACCTGGCCGCCCGCTTCGGACACCCGGTGCTGGTGGAGTGGCTGCTGCGAGAGGGCCACGCAGCCACGCTGGAGACGCTGGAGGGGGCCTTGCCGCTGCACCACGCCGCCGTCAGCGGGGACCTGACCTGCCTGAAGCTCCTGACGGCCGCCCACGGCAGGTGAGGGGCCGCAGCGCCGCCTGTTGGGCAGTCCGGGGGGTGCAGGTGCCGGGGAGGCCACACCGAGGCGGCGGAGGAGGAGGGGCTGCCGCCTTGGAGGCGGGCCTTGGGGGAGGGGAGTGTGGAGGGACAAGTCTGTGGCCAAGGCGCGGGCGGAGAGCGCTCGGGGTGAGGCTCGGAGCGTGGAGGGGGCAGTGAGAACGGCGAGGAAGCTGCTACAGCAGTCAGAGCAGGAGGCGCTCTATATGCTCAGGCAGCTCCCGGCCCTGCCTGGGGGCGTCTCAGGGCCCGGCTTCCCCTGGCTGGGAAGGTGGCCCCCTCAAGCCACCCGAAGGGAGCAGAGGCTGTGCAGTGGACTTGGGGGCCCCTTCAGGTCGGCCTGAATTCTCCCTCCACACTGTCCTGTTCCTGACACTGTGAACCCCTGTCCCACCGCCTGGAGTTGGTGGATGGCGAGGCGGGGGCAGCGGGCAGCGGGACTCCCCTTCCCCATCGTGGGCACCGCTGTGGCCCTTGCGCCCCACAAAAGATACCCTGGGCACACAACGGGCCATCTAGGGTGCCGTGCACGTGGCCTGCCCCCCACCGTCTGTTCTCAGGGCTACTGCCCTGGCTGGGGGTGGGACTCCGTGTCCGCCCCACGCCTGACCTGGCCTTTGTCCCCCAAACCCGCCTGCCTCTGTAACCACACGCCTTCTCCTCTGCGGGGCCTCTTGTTGGCCAGCTGGCTGTCCTGGCCACCCCACGGTTGCTCCTGGACGAGGCCGGACAGCTCAGCTGTGGAACAGTGTTCCTGTCCCTGGGCCTTCCCATCCCGACCCCTCGGCAAAGGCCTTCGGGACTCGCCTCTGCGGATCTTCCCCAGAGCGTCCACACCAGCTGCCCCGGGCCCGGCCGGCCACAGAGTGTCTCTTAGACCGGCAGTTTTAGAAGCAGCTTCTGTCGTTTGAAAAGTGGAAGATTTCACATTAAAGCACACACAAGCACATGGGAAGGTCCCCCGCCCCAGGGCCCACATTCCCACCGGCACCGACCACAGGACCTAGAGGTGAAGTCTTTGTCAACAGGGCGTGGGTCCGGTTTGGGGAGGGGCTGCCCTGGGGACCAAGAACTCTCCTGGGCCTGCAGCACCATAGAGGCAAAGTCGGATGCAGGAAATCTGACGACCCTGCCCCAGTCCATCCACATGGGGGCCTGGAATTCGGATGCCAGGGCTGGGCACCACAGAAGGGCTACTGCCCTGCTCACTGGCCCCTTGTACAGAGCAGGCCCCCAGCTCTGGAGGTTCCCTGACCCGTCCACTGCAGGCCCTGCTGGGCTAGTCACCCCCTAAGAAGCGCCCTCTGCCGGCCAACCCCTGGCGGCGCGCACATCTTGACGGGGAGGGGGGTGGGGGAGGGGAAGCTGGATTCCGGCGGCCCGTGCCCACCTCACCCCCGCCCCGACCCCGTGCCCTTGCGCCGTGCGCAACCTGTGCAACGCTACAGGTGGCCGGCTGGGCCCCTCACCTCAGCCGGGAAGCGGGGTGGCCGCAACAGCTCAGCCAGGTGCCGGGACGCCCCTCCCAGATCTGGGTCCTTGGCTGGAGCGGCTCCCCGCGACTCCCGGGCCGAGCGCCCTCTGAACCCCGCCCTCCCCCATAGCGGCGTGAACCGGCGGACGCGCAGCGGCGCCTCCCCGCTCTACCTGGCCTGCCAGGAGGGCCACCTGCACCTGGCCCAGTTCCTGGTGAAGGACTGCGGCGCCGACGTACACCTGCGCGCCCTCGACGGCATGAGCGCCCTGCACGCCGCCGCTGCCCGCGGCCACTACTCGCTCGTCGTCTGGCTGGTAAGGGGCCGCCGGGGGCGCGGGCAGGGGAGGGCCGGGAAAGCTGGCAACTCGCGTGCAGAACCGCCTTCGAGCGAGTGGCTCCCGGCTGGGGTGGGCGCGGCACACCCAAACTGGGTCTCAGTTTGCCCGCAGGAAGTCCGAGGACCCACACGGTGGTTGGGGGAGCAGATGGGCCGGCCCATGGCTCAGAGCACCCACATGCCAGGCCCAGTCTCGGCCCCGCGGTGCAGCCCGGAGCCCACAGCTTTGACTGGAGGTGGCTGCGGACTGAAAGTCAGCCCCTGCAGGACCGTGGGCGTGTGCAGGGCCCCCTGGGGGCTCTCCTGCCCCTCCCCCAGGAGTCCTCAGCGTCAGTGGTGCCCAACTGCTCTGTCTCTGGCACAGGCAGTGCCTGGCCCTGGCCATTTGGAGCCCAGGGCCAGACCCCTCCCCTCTTGCCCGCTGGACCCGTGGAAGGGTCACCCAGACCTCTTTCCAGAA